TGAGTCCTATATCTGGCCTAAGGAAGAGCTTTTTTTGGGTGGGGGGTGGGGGCACACTTGGTGATGCTCAGGGGTTACTCCTGACTCAGCATGGACTAACTCCTGATGGTGCTTAAGGGACCATATAAGATGCTGGAGATCAAACAGGTTTGCTGCATGCAAGGCAAATGTCGTACCCGCCATACTCTGACTTGCACCAGAAATCCCAGAAAGTTTTTTTTTTTTTAAGAAAAAATTATTTTCTTTTTTAAGAAAAAAAAATTTCAACTTTAGATTTTCATTAATCGAATACCTTTGTTGGGGTATTAATCTAGGCTTATGAGGATTTTAATAAATTATAGTGGCCAGTTTTGATAATTTCACTGATGATTTGGAGGTGGGGGTGATGGTGTAGAGAATGGGCCACACCCAGAGGTACTCAGGATATTCTTGGTTCTTTGCTCAGGAGTGACCCCTGGAAATGATGGGGACCATCTCTAGTATCAAGGCTCTAAACAGGATTGGCCAATGCCTTACTATCTCTCCAGTTCAGAATTTATTTTTTGCTGTCATATTGTTTGGTTTTGCTTGGGTCTCTTAAGAATTTTAGGTTCTGTTGTCTTTTTCAGTCTTTCACAGAATCTGGATAATCTGGCTGATTATTCATGTTGTTCATCAGCATTATTGTATATCAGTTAAACCAATATATAATCATAAAACATATGATTATATATCACTTGATCTTGATCATTTGACATCCCGTTACTGATCAATTTGCTTGAGCAGGAACCAGTAACGTCTCCATTCATATATATCCAATATATAATCATTGAGCATTTTGGATAGGTAGCCTGGAGCATATATGTAATTTCCCAGCAAAGAAATTTCTCTTTTCTTTTCCTTTTTTTTTTTTTAGGGAAATGAGACAAATCCTTATCAAATGGTGAAGAGTTCAACATTATTTAATAAATGTCAATTTGTGAGGTAATGAAAACTCTTACATCAAGAATTTAGACCTCTGGTCAGAGAGTTAGAACAGGGTTAAGGCACTTGCCTTATATTCCATGACACTGGTTTGAATCTTCAAACTACAATATGATTCTCTAAGCAATGTCAGGGGTCATTTCTGAGCACAGAGTAGAAATATTTTCTGAGCTCTGAAAAATGTGGACCCTCTCACCTCCCCCAAACAAAGAATGTAGACCCCCATCTTTTCTTTCCTTCTTAGCAATTCAATTTTCTTTAAAAGCCCTTTAATTGAGACTGACACATATCAAAAAGAACAGGAACAGGAGGCTGGAGTGATAGCACAGTGGGTGGGGTGTTTGCCTTGTACGCAAACGACCTGGGTTCGATTCCCAGCATCCTATATGGTCCCCTGTGCACTACCAGGGGTAATTCCTGAGTGCAGAGCCAGGAGTGACCCCTGTGCATCGCCGGGTATGACTCAAAAAGCAAAATAAATAAATAAATACTGTGACTTTATTTAAAAAAAAGAACAAGAACAAGCAGTGTTGGCGCAGATGCTGGGAGAAAGGGACTCTCCTTCATTGTTGGTGGGAATGTTGACTGGTCCAGCCTTTTTGGGCATTCTTCAAAAAACTAGAAATTGAGTTTCCATATGACCCAACAATACCACTTCTGGGAATACACTCTGGGGGCCCTAAGACTCAAGCACAAACACCGTCTGCACTCCGGTGTTCATTTTAGCACTATTCACCATAGTCAGAATCTGGAAACAATCTGAGTGCCCAAGAACAGACAACTGAATAAAGAATCTATGGTACATCTACACAATGGAATACTCCACAAGTGTTAGGAAATACGAGGTCATGAAATTTGCCTACAAATGGATGAACATGGACAATATGGTGCTGAGTGAAATAAATCAGAAGGAGAGGGATAGACATAGAATGATTGCACTTATTTGTGGGACATTAAAAAAAAACAGTATGAGACTAATTCTCAAGGATAGTAGAAACATGGGTCAAGTGAATTGGTCCACAGTTGGAAGCCTGCCTCAGGTGCTGGGGGAGAAGGCAGTTGGGATAGAGAAGGAACCGCTATGGCCATGATAGTTGGAAATGATCACTGGATAAGAACTGCATGCTGAAAGTTAGGGAAAGGGACAAACATGTAACCTCTCAGGATCTGTATTGCAAAACATAATGCCCCAGGGGGCTGGAGCTATAGTACAGCGGGTAGGGCATTTGCCTTGTACACGGCTGACCCAGGTTCGATTCCCAGCATCCCATATGGTCCCCCGAGCACTGCCAGGAGTAATTCCTGAGTGCATGAACCAGGAGTAACCCCTGTGCATTGCTGGGTGTGACTCCCCAAAAAATATAATGCCCAAAGGAGAAAGAGATAGAAAGCAGAAAAGTGCCTGCCATAGAGGCAGGCTGGGGATTGGGGTGGGAGATGGTGGGAGGGAAAGTGGGGTCATTGGTGGTGGGAAATGTGCGCTGGTGGAGGGACGTGTGTTAGAACACTATCACTGTGTCACTGAAGCCCAATCATGAACAGATTTGTAACTACATATCTCAATGTGACTCAATAAAAAATACATATATATTTTTAAAAAGTCCTTTGATTGAGTCCATGCTCTCAGTGCCGAAAGGGGTTGACAAGCCAGGAAGACTCAGTGTTGTCGAGCATCACCTTCCATCACAGACTTCCTGCCAGGACCACCAGGGCCGCTGTGAGAACTTACAATTGCTGAGGTCCTGTCCTCAGCGATTCTGATCTAACACGTCTGATCTGGGAGGAAAGGAAGGAGGAAGCGAAGTAGTTTCGTTGTTGTTTTTTTAAAATTCTTTCTCAGCAATTGTAAAGTGTAGTGTTGCTACCAAAGCCCTTAAATTAATTTTGAGTTATTAAATATGAATCATCATCATGCGATGACTGGAATGGGAAGGAATGGGAGTGAAGATAGATGGTCGGCAACTACACCACCTCTGCTTTGCTGATGACATTGTTTTAATAACACCAAACATCAGCCAAGCGGCACAAATGCTGGCCGACTTTGACCATGAGTGTGGAAAGGTAGGACTAGAGCTGAATCTTACGAAGACAATGTTTATGAGAAACAGCCTCGTTCCTGACGCCCCATTCGCTCTCAATGGAACGACCATCTCCGAATGCAACAGTTATGTATACCTAGGTCGAGAGGTCAACATGACAAATGACCTGGCACCCGAGCTGCTCAGGAGGAAGAGAGCGGCTTGGAACGCCTTCAAGAACGTCGAAGAAATAGCTAAGAGGACGAAGAACCTCCGGCTCCGGGCACATCTCTTTGATTCCACTGTTCTTCCTGCATTAACATATGCCTCAGAGACCTGGTCCCTACGCAAACAAGATGAGAACACTATTCAGGTCTCCCAAAGAAGAATAGAAAGAGCTATGCTTGGAATATCACGTTTCACTCAAATGAGAGAAAGAATCCGGAGTTCTGATATCCGTCGACGATTAAGAATCAGGGACGCTGTCTCATTTGCCAAGGTGTCGAAAATCAGATGGGCTGGTCACGTAATGAGATTTAAAGACGACCGCTGGACTAGAGCTGTTACCGACTGGATTCCACGGGATGTCAAAAGACCGCGTGGCCGCCCACCTACGAGATGGTCAGACTTCTTCATCAAGATCATGAACGATTGGTTTGAGGCTCTTCATGTTCCCAGAGCGAACAGATGCCATTGGGCTACACTAGCACGTGACAGGGACAAATGGAGACGTTACTGGCGCCCGCTCGAGCAAATCGACGACTAACGGGAGCTTAAGTGATTATTAAGTGATTAAATATGAATAATTACATATGAATTCAATGAGAAACTTCTGGGGGAAAATGTGAAGTACTAAGAGTACAAGGGTGGCATCTAACGCTTAGTGAGAGAGCATTTCTCATGCATGGTGCCGTGAGACTGGGGCGGAAAGGCCACATAGGGCTGCATTTCCCCTTCAGTGTGTGACTTCCTGAATGGAGAGGGGACTTGAGGAGCTTCACCAAGATAGTCAGACTTTGCCCTCTTTCCTTGGAAGCGCACCCTGGTCTCTTCCTACCTTTATGCCCTGGAGATTTTTTCAGAGCCCCTTCTCTTTGCCCCATCCCCAGCCATGCTTAGGACTCACTCCTGGCTCTGTCCTCAGGATCGCTCCTGGTGGGAGTGACCTAGGAATGCCAGGGATCCAATCCGGTAAGAGCCTTACTTGCTGTACTCTGTCTCAGGCCCAGGCACTTTCCTTTTTGGTTTCCTTGATAGTATTGCTAAAAGCTACCATTACTCAACTCCTAGGAGCTAGTGGGTATTTATACCCATTGTCTCCGATCCTTACCAGAACCTTAGAAGACATTTGTTTAGTTTACAGATAAAGAAACAAGCTCCGATGGGTTATGATGATTTTGGGTTTTGGATTTTCGGGCTGCATCTTATGCTATTGAGGGCTTACTTTTGGCTCTGTGTGCAGGGAGGACTCTTGGCAGTGCTCAGGACACCATATGTGTTTGGTGCTGGGGATTGAACCTGGGTCAATTGTGTGCCAAGCAATTGCCTTAACCACTGTACTCTCTCTGGCCCCGTTAGGTTGAGCTAAGGTTATCCAGGAAATGCCACAGCTAAGACTCAGAGGCCAATCCAGCCTCACTCGAGAGCTTGAATGTTTGTGCCACCGTGGTACCTGCCTTCCTCCTGTCCCTTCATATATTCTCCCTGCTCATGTGGCCTATTTCCTGGTCTTTCCTTTTTTGCCACAATATAACGGTGGAGATCTGCTGTGCGTTCTCCTAAAAAAACGCTGGCGTCTTCCTTTAAAAAATTCTCTTGGGGGCTGGAGCCATAGCACAGCAGATACGGCGTTTGCTTTGCACGCAGCTGACCCGGGTTCGATTCCCAGCATCCCATATGGTCCCCTGAGCACCGCCAGGAGTAATTCCTGAGTGCAGAGCCAGGAGTAACCCCTGTGCATCGCCAGGTGTGACCCAAAAAAAAGCAATATATATATATATTAAAAAATTCTCTTTGCAGGGACAACTGTGAGGCTCTCCGCAATGCAGCGATGTTTACTCGTCAGCAGAAGGTGGCCGAGGAGCGGAAAGCTCAGGTAGCATTCAACGAGGAGCTGAGAAGGCAGAAGCTGGAGGAGGAGCAGATATTCTCCAGGCTCTGGGAGGAAGACCGGCTGGCCAAGGAAATGCGAAATAATGAGGAGATGCTGCGGCAGCAACAGCTGGTGGAGAACACCCGCCTGGGGCTGAATGCCCAGGTGACAGGCATCAGGGCACAGAGGATGGCGGCGCAGCGGTTGAAGGAAGAGGAGGCACTCCTCGTGGTGCGCCTTTTAAAACATTTCTCATGTGGTGATGGGCTCAGTGGGTAGAGTTCCGGGGGCAGGCCTGTCCTGGGCACACTCACACAGGCCACGATTGCATAGTCCTGAGATGTTCCCACAGCTCTGCTGTCCCGTTGGGGAGGGCAAGTCACTGCACTTTTAAGGGATGGAGAGATCAGACTGCAGGGAGGGTGTTTGCCTCGATTGCAGCCGACCAGGGTTTAATTCCCCAGCTTTCCAGAGGGTTCCCCCTGTACTACCAGGAGTAATTCCTGGTTACCCAGAGCAGGGAGTAACCCTGAGTAACCCCAAACCTCCCATCAAACAACAACAACAAAAGCTAAACAAAAAGTCATTTCACTGTCTGGTTTCTTCAACTGGAGAGGAGGCAGAAAATACACTGTGTGGGGATGAAGTGGGGTCATAGTTGGCAATGCTGCCGAGAGCTAGTGGCATCGAGCTCCACTGCTTTGATGTGTAAAGGGCCCTCTGTGTAAAGGGTCATCCAACAGCTTCAGTGACCCTGACCACCAGCTCGCTGCCCTTACCATGCAGGAAGCAGAGCTGTCACTGGACATGTGTGGAAGCTCTAGGAAAAGTGGCAGTTCCACATGATTATAAAGCTTTGAGAAACTGACACTTCAATGTCATTAAATTTAGGGGAAAGGCATCATTATCCTGGGAAATTCCAAACATTAAAATTAGACTATGAAAAAAAAATGAAAGAAAATGCCACAGATAGATGATCTGAAGCCTTCTCTGGGTTGAAGACTTTATTCTGAAGAGTTTGTAGTAGTCCAAATATTTTAGCTTCACTAAGAAATTCAAAGTAGTGAGTCCCAAACTGCTGTGTGCATATGAGCACACACACACAAACACACCCACACACACACACACACACACACACACATCCCTATTCTCAGGTGTGACATACCTTGTGGTCCATTTTGACTTAATATATTCTAATTTTTCCTTTGACTTTTTTTGGGGGGGTGTCAAACCTGGTGATGTTCAGGGGTTACTCTTGGCGGTGCTCTGGAGATCATATGTGATGCTAGGGATTGCACCCTGGTTGACCATGTGCAAGGCAAGTGCCGTACCTACTGTACTGTTGCTCCGACCCTTAGTCAATACTTCTTGACTTCAAATAGGTGAGTTTTTTTCTCTCTTTTTGTTTTTGTTTCAGGACTATGCTTTTATGTCTGTGCTAAGGGGCTACTCCTGCTCAGGGCTTGGGGTCCCATGTGGTGCCAGGGATCAAACCTAGACTTCCTGCATGCAAAGCATCCAAAGTGCTCCAGCCCATTGAGCTCTTGCTCCAGCTTCAAATATGTGAGGTTTTCTTAAACCAATTCTCTGAATTTCTGTGGATATAAACTTAGGTGTCCTATGATGTTATCCAGTTCTGACATTACTTATAGAGCCAGGTTTAAGGGCTCAGTCCCTCAAGACTGCCTGAGTGCATGCAAAATGTGCTTTGCATGTGGGTGGTCTGTGTCAGTCCCTGGCACTGCCTGACCTCCAAAGCACTGCCTAGAAAGACCCCCCCCCCAAGTATCTCTGGATGTGGCCCCTCAAAAAGCAAAACTATCCTATCCTACTTCCTATGTCAAACTTAGATTATTGAACTCCAGGTTCCGTAAACTTTTGTCTAATTTAACTAAAAAGTCAAAGGCTCTCATGACTTCCTCTTAGGTTGGTTGGATAGTTCACTAGAATTTGCTGATCTCAGGACATTGCATCGAATAAACTAAGTGTAGTTTATTGTAACTCGGAAACAGCCCAGTGGAAGAGATGCCTGGGGTGTGGCCGGAGGGGGCAGAGCTTCCTGTCCTCTCAGGGACTCCATGTTTATAGCACCTCAGTGTGCTCTCAGCTTGAAGCTCTCTGTACCTCTTCCTCTGACGCTTCTGCAGAGGTTTCACTGCTAGGCATGTTTAGTTGAATGACATTTCATTACCTTAGTCTGATGATTGAATCCAGACTCCAGCCACTTGCCCTTCTCTGGAAGCAGAGGGGGCGGAGCTTAAAGGCCCCCTGCAGGGTGGGTCTTTCTGGTGACTGGCAAGATTCTGAGTTCATCTGGGATCCCAGCCAGCAGTTATCTCAGTAGGGTAGCAAAGACTCTCTTACCACTTTGGACATTTCTTAGGAGGCATGTACCAGGAACTGGCAAAGAAGCACATATTTATTATTATTATTAGTATTATTATTATTATTTTATTATGCTGCACCCAGCTCTTTATTTCTTCCTCCCCTTTCAAAGTATTTTTCCATTTTGGGTGAAGGATGGGGTAGGAGAATAATTTTAGCCTCATGAGAAATTACAGATAAATAGTGGAGCATTTAAGCTCCCCGTGATGTATTCAATATGCCAAACACAGTAACAACAAAGTCTCCAATGGAGACTTACTGGGCCCGCTCAAGCAAATCAATGATCAACGGGAGGGCCTTTACTTTACTTTACCTTTATATAACCATAGATATCTATTTATCACATGTGTATATAGCTTAAAACCCAGAAAATTATATATGCATGACCAAGACTTAAACCTGAAAGCTTTGTAACTTTTCCCACAGTGATTCAATAAATAAATAAATTTAAAAAAAAAACAGAAAATTAGTTGTTTTAATAGTTTGAAGTTATCCTTTGGTCAACTAAAATATTTTTTGGATCAGTCACTTTTTGTATTTACTTTTTTAGGGAAAGGATATATTTCTATGAAATTTTAACACACAGATATAATCACTGTCAAAATCAAGATTCAGAGCTGTTCCATCACCCAAAGAATCTCTTTCCACTTATTTCTCTATTTATATCCTCCCTCAACCCTAGACCTGTTAGCCAGTGACATGAGCTTTATCACTATTATTTTGTCACTTCAGAAATGTTATCTAGGTTTGATCTCTAATGTTTTATTATCAACATTTTTAAATGCACAGAAGTGAGTCCGGTAGCCCCCTGAACCCATGTCCAGCAGTTACTGCATTCTGCTGTGCTCTTTTCCTCCACCTCACCTCCCCCAAACTCAGTGTATGTATATTTTTTTTCATTTTCCACTGAGGTACCATTATTTGTAATACTGTTAGTATCAACAGCTCAGGGATACAGCATTGCTACACCACACCCTCAGAGCACTAGCATCCCTCCATCATTGTCTCTTGGTTCTTCCTTCTCATCCCTACAACCTCCACTGGCAAACTCAGCTGTGAAGGTCAATTCTCAGGGTTTGTCATTATTGGCCTCAAAGTGTGAAGAGCCAGAAGTTTATCCCCTTATTCTATTTCTTTATGCTTCATATATGCATGAGATCATCAAATATTTGTCTTCCCTTTGACTTACTTTGCTCACCATGATAGCCTCAGATTCCATCCAAATTGCACTGCGCTGCAAGATTTCACTTTCTCTTATAGCTGGCCAGTACTCCACTGAGTATATACACAATTTTCTCTATTTATTTATTTGTCCTTGGACACTTGTTTTTCCCCTAGATTTCAGTTATTGTGAATGGTGCTATAGTGAACACTGGAGTGTAAATATACTGTTAAATTAGTGTTTTTGTACTCTTGGGGTAGATGCCAAGAAGTGAAATCACTGGGTCATATGATAACTTAATTCTTAATTTTTGATAAATCTTTACACTATTTTTCACCAAAGCAAAACCAGACAACATTTCCAGCGAAAGTTGATATGAGGGTTTTTTCCCCTACATCCTTTCCTGCACTGATTATTTTCTTTCTTTCTTTTTAAAAAATGTGTGAACCATTTCCCTGTCCTATCTCCTCTGTCTGAGTCTGGATTTTCTGGTTGTCTCATCTCCTGTAGTCTTTAAAATTTGGGATTTGGGCTAAAGAGAGTCCAGCTGGCATGGAATTTACTCTGCATGCAGCTGTCCTGGGTTCGATCCTTGAGCCCTGAGCCAGGAGTAAGCCCCTGAGCACTGCTATGAATTACTCAGAAACCAAAATCAAACAAACATTGGGGCTAGAGTGTATGCTTGCATGTAAGAGGCCTGAACTTGATCTCTGATCCCTTATGGTCCCCCAGTACCATCAGGAGTGACCCTGGGCACACAGCCTTGAGTAGCCCCTGAGCACTGTTGTATGTGTCCCCACCAGCATAAACCAAACAAAACATGTGGCCTGCTTGCTGTCCGACTGCCTTTCATGTTTGATGTATATTGCTTTATCTTGGACACGGCAAGGCATTTTCATTTTCATATATACTGTTTCCTCTGACCCACACAATTAAGTGTAGATTGGCATTAATGGAAAATTAATGAAAAATTCGAACATATAGCTCCCTCTCACAAACCAATAATCACAACTGTTGTGAGTCTCCATCAAATCAAGTCAAATGGAAAGTGTGTTCAAAGTGTGTTCCTTTCTTACTGTTGTGCCCTCTCCAGTCCTGCAAGGCAAGTGCTTCACCCTTCCAGGAGAGCTCACTGCCTCTAGGCGGAAAGCTAATGGTTCGGTTCATACCAGGCTTTCTCCACAGGTCCGAACGCGCTGGTGCCTCTCCTAAAACTCTTAGTTAGCTTATAATTTTTTAAAATATTTTTTATTGAATCATTCTGAGATTTAGCTTGTAATTAAGCCAGCCAGGAGGGTCAGAGAGATAAGAAAATGGAAGGATAATTTTAAAGAATTAGATGCTTAAAATTCAATTTTGTATTTTTAGCTGATATGCACATTTTCATTTTTTGACTCTTCTTGCTGATCGACCAAGTATCGGAACCAGGGATGTATCTTAGCTGTAGAGCATTTGCCTTGCATGCATGGGGCCCTGGATCCCGTCTCTAGTCAGTGAAACAAAGCAAAACAATACAATGGGACTGGAGAGAGAGAGCTCAATAGGCTAGAGCACTTGCTTTGCACAAAGACACATGAGGTCCCCAAGCACTGCCAGGAGTGGCCCACAAGCACAGAGCTCGGAGTAGTCCTTGAACACTGCTGGGTGTGATGCCCCTCCCCCAACCATGTCCACATCTAGATGAAGAGAAGAGTACACTCTGGGAGACAATGCAGTAGTATCCCCTTATCTCGGGGTCTGTTCACAATATCAGTGGGTGCCTGGAACCACAAATTCTGTCAGTCCCCTTCTCTACTCCCTTCTCCCATATAAACACATCTAGGAAAAAAGACAAATTTTTAATTATACACAGAACAACTAATATTTTAAAAGATATTAACCATTTTAATAGCTAAAATAGAAAAACTAAGTTATATGAGTGTGGTCTGTGTCTGCATGTCTCAAAATATCTTTGTATGTATGTATCATATGTGTATATAACATTTTTAGATGATGGTTGAATACTGTAGGTAATTTAAAACCTTGGAAAAATGAAATATTGGATAAGGGGCTGACTAATTATACCCCAAATGCTAAGAGCAGTGGTGGTATAAGCACTAGGATTTAATGGTAACTTATTTTTATGTTTCTGTATTTATTTATTTATTGTTTTTGGGTCACAACCAGGGGTGTTCAGGGGTTTCTCCTGACTCTGCTCAGGAATCACTCCTGGTGGGTTCAAGGGATCCTATGGGATGCCAGGAATCAAACCCAGGTTACTTGCTTTCCTTTAGGAAGGAAAGCATCCTACCCACTATACTATCTCTCCAACCCCTATTTCTGCATTTCTGATTTTATCATCTCACATATACACACACAACTGTTTTACAAAGGCTTATTGTTGCACCTCGCACTTGACAAGGTCAGTTTTAATTCTTAGAGCTACTGAATCCAGATATATGTGTGTTTCCAAGAAATCATTCATCCTCATCTCTAAAATGCATTGACTTGTTTCATCTAACGCCCTGTTGCCTTCCCTTCATTACTCTACTGTAGGAAGATGAGATTGCACGGGTCAAGCACGAGAACGAAGTGGAAAGGCTAAAGAAGCTGAAGGCAAAGCAGGAAACCAGGACCAACCTGAACAAGGCTCTCCAAGAGAAGATGGAGCGCATGCAGCAGGAGTTCAGGGAGCAGCAGGATTTGGACATGAAGCTCGTGCATGATGCCCTCCAGGACATAGAGGAAGAGACTCATCAAAAGCAGCAAAGAAAAGTAAGAGACTGAAGCACCTGTCACGTGGTGGGTCACAAGGAACCAGAACTCAACTGTCCTGCTCCAGATGTGGCTTGGAGCCGACAGTGGTCAGAGAGCAGGGAGCAAACTAGAAATCCCTGTACTCCAGAATCCAGATCTCCTAAGCTAAAGCTTTGCAGGGTCCAGAAAGTTATGTTTTAACAAGCTTCCCAGATGGTTTGATGAAGCTTAAGAACTCCTATTGTATAATGTGGCGATAGCATGTAACTGAGGCATGGGATCATGGGAAGTGGGGTGATTTAGTTTCCCCTTAGAGATTGGGAGGGAGGGGCTGGAGCCATGCATAGCATAGAGGGTAGGGCACTTACCTAGCATGCAGCTGACTCAGGTTTGATCCCCAGCACCCCATACATTCCCCCCAAGCGCTGAGCCAGGAGTAACCCCTGAACATCACCTGGTATGCCCCCAAACAAAACCAAAAATACCATTATGGTAGAATATTTAAAATGGGAGCCAGGGAGGTGGCTCATTGGTAGAACCATGAGCCTTGGCTGTGTGAGGTCCACTTCAATCCTCATCACCAGGTGACACTTTCAGGAAGATGAAAGGACAGTGCAGTGAGCTCCTGCTGGTGCCCATCACCAGTTCATTGATCACGACCACCCGCATCTGTGTGCGCCTGTCCATTCTCCACAGCTACCCCCTGAGTATTTTGAAGAAAGCTCTAGATGTACCTATAAATGTTTCAGAATGTGAACCTAAGAGCTTAGGACTGTAGCTCTGAAAGTGTGAAGTGAATGTTCAACAGCTGGTTTGTGCAACTAGTGCCAGTTGGCAGATATTTCCAGGTAGTTGGCCCACCTGCTGTCACTGGTCCTCAGAGTTAAAAAGTTGTTTAACTTTTAATGATTGCTCTGAAAAGTTGTTTTTGGGGCCAGAGTGGATAGGGCATTTGATGCACGTGGCCAACCTGACTTTGATTCCCAGCCTTCTATACAGTCCCTGGAGCATTGCCACGAGTAATTCTTGAGTGCAGTGACAGGAGTAAGACCTGAGCACTGCCAGGTGTGGCCCCCAAACAAAAAAAGTTTTTTTAACTCACCCTCAATATTGTTTTCACAACTTTTGATAATACAAAGTGATTATTTTTAAACGTCATATAGGAAGAGCTGAAAAGAGAACAGAAGCTATATAATCAGTATCTGGCAGAACGACGCGAGGAAGAAAGAGCTCATGAGAAAGAACTGGACAGAATTTTAGAAGAAGAGAAGAAAAAGAAGATGGCTGAGCAGGAGTCAGAGCTGAGACTTGAGAAAGAAGCAAGGAAAAAACTTATAGACGAGGTCATGTGTACAAGAAAACTTCAAGTTCAAGAGAAGTGTAAGGAAATGAATAATTTTACTGTGGTTTAACCTAATTCAATATAAGTGGCTGCCCAAATTTTTTATTTAAGTGGGCATCCTGTGAGACATACTGTGAGGGATGTGGAAAGGATGAAGGCAGGTTCCTTGCTTTGTAGGACTTACCTGATTGACCACATAAAGCACCAGCATGTGAGTTTTACTTCCCAGCAGATTCTGAGCATTCCCGAAGAAGCTTTCAAGGTTGAGAGCAGAGTATCCTCTGAACACTCTGTGTGACTTAGTGAGTGAGTGCATCTGGACTTCTCCTCCTTCCTTTAATCTGTCCATCTGTCCTTTCTTTTTTTTTATGTAGTCATTTACACATCAATTTTTTTTTATTAGTGAATCACTGTGATGTACAGTTACGTACTTACAAACTTTCGTGCTTGCGTTTCAGTCTTACAGTGATCAAATACCCATCCCTCCACCAGTGCTCATTCTCCACCACCAGTGATCCCAGTATCCCTCCCACCACCCCTACCCCACCCACCCCCACCCAACCCGCCTCTTCCCTTTTGTTCTCTCTTTTCTTTTGGGTGTTGTAATTCGCAATAGAGGCATTGAGTGGCCATTGTGTTCAATCTATAGTCTACATTCAGCACGCATCTCCCAACCCTAACGGGTCCTCCAAAAACACTTTACTTGGTGTTTCCTTCTCCATCTGAGCTGCCTTTCCTCCCAGCATTTGTGTCCCTCTATCCTTTCTTCAGAGATCTCCACACCTTTGTCAGTTTACCTGGGTAGTTTTCTTTGCCTTGCATGATTTGATTTTAATCTTGAGAAATCCTGGACATCCTTATGGAGGGCTCAGATGTTTCATTTTCTCTTTTCTTTTTCTTTTTTTCCTTTGAGTCACACCCAGTGCTGCACAGGACTTACTACTGGCTCTGCACTCAAGGACCATGCCTGATAGGACTTGAGGGACCATATGGATGCTGGGGATGGAATCCGGGTTGAGCACATGGAACGCTGCTGTACTGCCTGTTGTACCATCTGTCTAAGTCCAGATGTCTTATTTTCCAAATGGTCTTTACTGTGCCTTCACTCATAATAATGCCTCTTTCTGGGGCCCTCACTATTAAATGCTCACATTTCTTTTTTTTAATTTTTAAAATTTTTATTGAATATCGTATTCAATATGCCAAACACAGTAACACAATGGAGACGTTATTGGGTCCGCTCGAGCAAATTGACGAACAACAACAGGAGGACAGTGTGACAGTGTGATCCTTGAAATAGACCATTACAAAGCTGTTGATATTTGGATTTCAGTCATACAATGATCATACACCCATCCCTCCACCAGTGTACATTTCCCACCACCAATGTCCCTAGTTTCCCTCCCACAATCCCTCCAGCCTCCACTCCCCTCCCCCACCAGCCTGCCTCTATGGCAGGCGCTTTTCTTTTTTCTCTCTCTCTCCTTTGTGCATTATGATTTGCAATACTAAGAGGTCATCATGTTTCTTCAGGGAATTCAGTATTTTTTTGGGGAAGGTAAGGCTGGAGTAGCTTTTTTAACTGGGTGGCAGCTTTGGGGTGTGGATGTGACTGCAGAGACTTCTGGAAGTACAGGGAGGTGGGGGGAGGTAGCCCATCCTAATGCTGAGAAAATCTGGAGATTTCAGTCACAAAACCCACATACCCAGATTTTCATCAGTTTATATCTCAATGAGATCTGTCCTGGGGAATTTCTCGCATTTATCTCCACTTCAAATGGTGCCTGGATAGAAAGGGAAATCTTTGTTGAGTTAGATGAACTGCCACCTCAATAGTCAGTAGATGGACAGATTTACTATGGAATTTCACTTGTTGTCTTTGCAAGACAAAGTTTATCTTGGTCCCATTGACTCACTCTCCATTGCAGGGCTGGAGAGATAGCTCAATGGACTGAGCACATGTTTGCATGTTGGAGACCCAGGTTCGATCCCTAGCACCACAGGGTCCCTGAACACCTTTGTGAGCAATCCCCAAGCACAAAGCTGGGAGGAGCCCCTGAGCATTGCCAAGTGAGGAGAAATAAATAATAGTAGTCTTCCACTTCAAGGATTATAACAATTTAATCAAAGTTAAACAGTTAAAAATTGTTTAAACAAAGTTAAAAATTGTTAAGCCAGGGACCAGAGAGATAGGACAGTGGGTAAGGCACTTGTCTTGCAATACAGCTGCCTGGGCTCAATCCTCAGCACCACATGTTCCCCTGTGCACTACCAGGAGTCATCCCCGAGCACAAAGCCAGGAGTCATCCCTGAGCACCACTGGAATGTGGCCTCAAGAAAAAATATTTCTATACAGTAAAGTGAAATGTATTTTAGAACATAGTGAGAAAACATGGAAATTTTAAGAAATTGGGACTATTTGTAAACAAGGAGATTACATTGTAATCTCTTCAATGGCCAAGATCCAGAGACTATGAAACAAAGCTCCCAGAAGAGAGCGATGCAGTTTTTCCATGGCAGAGCCTGGCAAGCTACCTGTGGCGTATTCAATATGACAAAAACAGTAACAATAACGGGCCTCATTCCCCTGACCCTTGAAAGAGCCTCCAATATGGCCATTGGGAAAGAGGAGTTAGGAGAGGCTGCTAAAATCTCAGGTCTGGGACGAATGGAGATGCTGCTGGTGCCCACTCCAGCAAATCAATGAACAATGGGATGACAGTGCTACAGTGCAGTGGAAACAGAATAAGCCACCTCCCAGGAATAGCTACTACTCACTACATCAGGTAGTTCCTTCCAATAATTTTCCTCATAAATTTAGGATCCTGTGGTACACGTTGTTTTACAGCCTGTATTTTACACAAGTGATAAACATTCTTTCAGACCATTCTTTTTGTCATCAGATGTTTTAATGACTTCCTCTAAATCCATTCTGAAAGTAAACTTAATTTTAGCGAAGCATAAAGTAATGGACCTTTATATTGCTTTTAATCTTTTTAACTTTTATTTTAGCATCCAGGTTACTATCTCTGAACACTGACTCTCTTTTTAGATTGTTTGAAATAAATTCCCGTAAGTGGGTTTTGGGACCCACTTATATTTCCAGATGTAGAAAAGAACATGTCGCTGTCAATGGGAGAACAGTGACAGTGATATTGCCATGTGTATTTATTCTTTTCTGAGCTTTGTTTTCTTTGTCTTTTGTTTTATTGGGATGTTTAACTTTTACTTGTTGGGGCCAGAGAGACAGTATAGAGCTTAAGGCACTAGTAGTTTTGTGGTGTCAGTGGCTACAGTAGTTACTGGCTACTGGTTTAAGTCCCAGTCTGCATATGGCCCCCTGAGCACTGCCAAGTGTATCCCCCACAAAAAAAGGAAGGGAGGAAATGGAAAATTATACGGCAGATAGGGCATTTGCCTTGCACACAGCTGACCCAGATTTAATCCCTGGCATCCCATATAGTCCCCTGAGCCCACCAGGAGTAATCACTGAGCACAGAGCCAGGAATAAGCCCGGAGCACAGCCAGGTGTGGGCCCCAAACAAACAAACAAAAACAGAAATCAATGCTTGCTTCGGCAGCACATATACTAAAATTGGAACGATACAGAGAAGATTAGCATGGCCCCTGCGCAAGGATGACACGCAAATTCATGAAGCGTTCCATATTAAAAAAAAAAAAACAGAAATCAAAAATAAGAGAAGGGAGGAAAAGTCTCTTTTATGAATTTAAAAGAGTCTGTATATATTATCTTTATATTTGTTTTATTTACTGGTTTTGGCATATCGAATACGCCACGGATAGCTTGCCAGGCTCTGCTGTGCGGGCATCTTCCAGAAGGGCAATGGAGAAGATTATCCATGACTTCTACTCAGATCTCTTTGATAGCCATGTCCACCTGCCCACATACCAAATTCCGCAGGATGGATATGTCATTCCCAACATTCTCCCTTCAGAAATCCAACATGCCATTTCGTTGGTAAAGAAACCAACAGCACCTGGCCCAGACAAGGTCAGACCTGAACACCTGAAGAACCTGCCGTCAGTACTCATCAATACACTGGCTCGCCTCTTCACGCACTACCTGTCTGAATGCAAGGTTCTGTCCCAATGGAAAACCAGCAGGACTGTATTACTGTACAAAAAGAGAGACATCCACAACATTGGCAACTATCGCCTGATCTGCCTGTTGTCTGTCATCTACAAGCTGTTCATTCAAGTCATCCTGAAAAGGATTGGCAGAATACTAGATGAAGGACAACCATGTGAGCAAGCCGGGTTCTGCAAAGGATTCTGCACGATCAACCATATCCACACGATAACCAAGCTCACTGAGGTTTCTCGGGAGTTCAAGATGCCGTTCTGTCTAATGTTCATTGATTTAAAGAAGGCCTTTGATTCTGTTGAGACAGAAGCAGTCATCGAAGCCCTCGCCAATCAGGGCATTCATACTCAATACATCAGGATCCTCCGTGAGCTATACTACGGATTCACTACCAGGATCTCACCATTCTAGAAAGAAGTGATCATCGATGTCAAGAGAGGGGTTCGGCAGGGTGATACCATTTCACCGAAACTCTTCAGTGCCACCCTCGAGAACATCATGCGACGACTGGAATGGGTAGGAATGAGAATAAAGATAGACGGTCGGCAACTACACCACCTCCGCTTTGCTGATAACATCGTTCTAATAACACCAAACATTAGTCAAGCCGCACAAATGCTGGTCGACTTCGACCGTGAGTGTGTAAAGGTCGGACTACAGCTGAATCTCACGAAGACAATGTTTATGAGAAACAGTCTCGTTCCTGACGTTCCATTTGCTCTCAATGGAATGACCATCTCCGAATGCAACAGTTATGTGTTCCTAGGTTGAGAAGTCAACATGACAAATGACCTGGCACCTGAGTTGCTCAGGAGGAAGAGAGCAGCTTGGCACACCTTCAAGAGCGTCAAAGAAATAGCTAAAAGGATAAAGAACCTCCAGCTCCGGGCACATGTCTTCGATTCCACTGTTCTTCCTGGAATAACAGGAACATACGCCTCAGAGACCTGGGCCCTAAGCAAACAGGATGAGAACGCTATTTGGGTCTCCCAAAGAGGAATAGAAAGAGATATGCTTGGAGTATCATGTTTCACTCAAATGAGAGAAAGAATCCAGAGTTCCGACCTCTGTAGAAGATCAAGGATCAGGGACAGTGTCTCGTTTGCCAAGGCATTGAAAATCAGATGGGCTGGATACGTAATGAGATTTGGAGACGACCACTGGACTAGAGCCATTACCTACTGGATTCCACAGGACGTCAAGAGACCGCGTGGCCACCCACCTACAAGATGGTCAGACTTCTTCGTCAAGGCCCTGAACGATCGGTTTGAGGCTCTTCTAGAACAAACAGACGCCATTGGGCTACACTAGCACGCAACAGGGACGAATGAAGACATTACTGGCGTCTGCTCGAGCAAATCGATGATTAACGGGAAGTCAAGTGATCAAGTGATATTTGTTTTATAATAAACTTGTTTGTGTTATAATAAACTTTTTTGTATAGCTGGTGATAGAAGTGAGAAGTGTTTTAACATTTCGTAAAAAAATTGTTTAGATTATAATACATGAATATAAACCCTATATTTATCTTGCCTTGGATCGTGGCCAGCCTGGGTCCACATATGGTCCCCAAGCACAGCCAGGAATGATCCCTGAGTGCAAGGTCAGGAGTAATCCCTGAGCAGCATAGCCCAGTATGCCCCAAAGACCAAAAATGAAACAAAAATCCCAGCCCCAAAAAAATCTAGTCCAGTGACTCTAACCTCTACCTAGAGAGAAAATGGTAGTGATATCCAGAAAGATGCTAGCAAGTATTCAAGTATTCTCTGGGAAAAAAAAATTATTCAGCCAAAATTACCTTTGTCTGTCTTAGTGCAACGAAAAGCAAGAGAACAGGAAGAACTTGCTTTGGAGCAGGAACGCATAAATGAAGGTCTTAAAGTACTCAACCGTGAAGAGAGGGAGAACTTTGCAAGGTATGGGTTTCTTTCTTTCTTTTTGTGGTGGCAGGGGAGGGGCACACCTGGAGGTGCTCAGGGATCACTCTTGGGCTCAGAGGACCAGGTAGAATGCCGAGGATGGAACCCAGGTCAGCTGCATGCAAAGCAAGCACCCTGCCCACTGTACTATCTCTCTAGCCCCTGATTTTATTTCTTTACCTTAAAAAGGGCAGACTTTGACATAAATAGAATACAGTTCAGTGGGCCATAATATGTGCATGATTTACATTATTTTGTAGCATTATTATAATTGTCTTAGGACTTCAAAGAAGTTTGCAGAATTTCTTGTAAAATCAGTACAACTGTGTTAGTAAAATGAAATTCTACTCTTGCTGGAGAAAGAGCTCAGTGAACTGAGAGAAGATTTTGCATGAGGAGACCCAGGTTTGCTGCACGTGACTCCTTGAACACATCCAGGAGTGACCCCTGAGCACAGAGCTGGGAGTAGTCTCTGACCACCACCAGATGTGGTGGTCAGTTCAAATAGAACACAAATTTTTATTGCTGGAGCTCGGGACTTAACTGCTCAGTCACCATCAGAGCCTGCATGGCTCACGGCCCTTAGGCCAAGAGCAGAGCAGAAAATACACAGAACAGCCTATTTCCAGTTTTCAGTAGACTTGGGGTCACGCCTTCCACAGAGGGAATCAGGAGAAGCCAAAGGATTCTCCCCACTTGGCAGTGAATAGTAATTAGTAGGGGAGAAGCACGGTCTCATTAAAATCAATATTTGTTCTAAAATTATCTTAATTACTATTGTAGAACACATACATAATTGAAATGTTCAATGTGTCTCTTCCCCCACTCACCCCAATTTTAATGGATTTTAATGGGAATTTTAATTTGACTTCACAAACTAAATTTTAATTGTCATGCCCTAAATAAGCCCAAACAGCACTTTTTATAATTTTATGCTTTGTCACTTCCAATGTTTCAGACGTTGCCGCCTGATCCAAGAGTATAGGAAGCAACTGCAGATGCAAATAAGCTACCAGCAGCAAGCCCAGGAAGCGAAGAAGGAAGAGGAACGCAGGGAGTTTGAAGCAGGATTGGCAGAACAGAAGATTTTCACGGACAAGCTCACAGCGCTGCTGAATATCGAACAGTTGCCCAAGTCCGTTCATCCCATGAGGAGGGAGCGCCTGAAGAACCACCCATACTAGCTTTATAAACATCAGAGTGTTTCTGTTGTTTTTTAATTACTACTGCTTGTATGTTTGCATTTTTCTCTGCGCACAGGCAGGGGCACAACCATTGGTGCTCATGGGCTATTTCTGGCTCTGTGATCATGAGTGGCCCTGGCAGAGCTCAGGGGACCATATGCAATGCCAGGGATCAAACCAGGGTCAGCGGAAGTGACTGCATGCAAGATGGGTACCTGAAACATTTCTCCAGTCTCTGCTAGTATGTTCTTTCATTTTTTAGGGTTTTTTTTTTTTTTGACCACATCTGGTGGTGCTCAGGGTTCATTCCTGGAATGTGTGCTCAGGAGTGACTCCTGGTTGTGCTTGGGGGAACAAATGTGGTGCAGGGATGTGATCCAGGATTGGGGGGATGTAAGGCAAGATTCCTTTCTCTCTCTTCAGAGTTCTTTTCTTTTACTTTCCCTCTTCTTATGTAGGGCAGAGTAATGCTTTATTTCCCCATAGCCTTTCATCCACCACTCTGTCTTTCTCATGATATTGACTGCTCTCCATTTTCAGTCTAACTCTTGAAAGAGTTGTGATTTGGATATGTTTGGTTTTTTCAATGACTGAAACAAAACAGATCTAGACCCACAGCTTCTGGAAGAACCATTTATACTTGCCAGTCTGCCTCTCCTTGGCTGGACCTTGGCCTCTCCCGGCCTCGCCTTCAGGATGGGGTCTCTGAAGACATGCTCATCAGTGATGGTTCTGTCTGCGAGGATGATGGTGAGTCCCAGCAGCAGGGCACAGCTGTAAGGTTGGTCTGAAATGCCACCTCAGTGTCCTTTATGATGACTGCTTTGTGCCCGAGTAGCATCTGGCCAGGACCAGTGCCCCCTTCATGAACTTGCCCATTTTGACAGTAGCTTCTTAGGCCTACGGTTTGCATTTTTTTTTTGAGGTGGGGAAGTGGGTTTGGGTCACACCCAGTGATCCTCGGGGGTTACTTCCTGGCTCTGCACTCAGGAATCACTCCTGGCCAAGGATCAAACCCAGGTTGGCTGCTTGCAAGTAACTTATCTTTTGTACTATCTCTCCAGCCCCTGTTCTTATAAAATAAAATAAGTAAATGAATAAACCTGTTGGATAAACTCATCTATCTTTTCTGAGTTTGTAAAATCATGCATAATTTTTGGGGATGAGGGGGTGTGTCATACAAGCTATGCTCAGGGCATACTTATAGCCGTGTGCTCCTTGTGGGCTCCAGGGACCATATACGGTGCTGGGGATAGAACCCAGTTTGGGTGCACGTAAGAGAAGCATCTTGCTTGTCTTATTATCTCTTAGGCCCGATGCATAATATTTCCCCTTCAACTTAAACTTTGTTCCTTTTTTTACAATACAGACCAAGATGATCTGTTTGCGTATCAGAGCTGTTTCTTGATTTACTCCCTTGCTTCCTTTCCTTCTTTGTTATAGGTGCTATTTCATTTACCCATTGCCATGTTCTCTTGTGTCTTTTCTCCTCTCCTCGAGAGTTTTATTCTCTCAAATCTGTCAGTATTACAAATCACACTAACAACATTCATTTGAATCATTTCCTTAGGATCACTTACTCCCCCGAGGCTGAGTATAGTGTGCAGAGCTCTTGCCTTGCATAAGGCCCATTTGATCCCCTGTGCTGCCAGGAGTCAGGAGCAAGCCAGCCCCGAGCATCACAGGGTGTGCCCCCAAAATGAAAAAAAAAAAAGAAAGGAAAAATCAGTCAACCTCTCTGCGGGATATTTGGGTCAAAGTGGGTAAACATTTTCATACTTTGGGGATTTAATATTAATACTTGCAAAAACAGTTTTTATTGGGGCTGGAAAAATAACAACAGGATTATCTTGCCCATGGCTGACCCTGGCTTGATCCCTGTCACCCCATATCATATAATCCCTGTCATCCTGATCACTGCCGGGAGTAAGCCCTGAGCAAGCCGCGTGTGACTTCTAAACCACACGCAAATTTTTTATTTCTAGCTGTAGACATTTTTTTTATGGGAATCTTTTCAGGACAATTGAAAATTCTCCCTAAAAATTTAAAATTTAAGCAGATTTTTATGGCATCTTGAGAGGTTTTATTGTATCCTTTCTACTCATCCAGTCCCGTTTTTATTTTTCGAGCTACCATTAACATAACCATATTAGTTTCAGGGAATCAACAATATATTTGTTATGTGTATATGTGAATCATTAGCACCACAAGTGGAGTTAACATATATCCCCATACATAGTTGCTAAATCTTTTTTGTTAACTGTTTTCAGGTCAATGGATGAGTGTTTATTCTCTTAGGGCCAGAGAGATAGTCAAATGGGTTGAGTGTTTATTCTCTTAGGGCCAGAGAGATAATCCAGTGGGTTTAGTGTATATTCTCTTAGGACCGGAGAAATCGTCCAATGCGTTGAGTGTGTGCGTCACATAGGGGAGATCTGGATTCAATTCCAGACATGATGTGTCCTCCCAAGTGGAGAGCACAGTGAGGTTCAAAAAAATATATTAAAATTATTTTCTCAGCGATTTTCATAATTTATTTACTCTTACCCCAGTTCTGGAACTACCACTTCCTCTGTACTTTGGGGACAATATTAACTTTAATTCACTAGTGAAAATCTTGACCAGAAAAAAAAAAAAGGAAGATGTGTGGGTGTGGCAAGTATTGCTGAAAGAGCTGGCGTGTGTGTGCTATGCATGTGGGAGCCCTGGGGTCATGCTCTGGCACTACATGCTCCCACCCACCCCCCGCCCCCCCACCCCCCTTCCCGCCCCCCCAGCATGGTTAGATGTAGTGCTCCCTTGAGCCCTCCATAAGAAAAACAAAAGACAAGACTTTCCTGTGGCAAGACGTTCCCAGGAGAGCTACCCTAAAAGCCTCAATGTTATCTCTTACTGTGTCCATCCAAAAATAACTAGTATTGAGATGTTGATAGAGTTATTGGACTGAGGAAAGGAGAAAAACACCTTAGGAGGTATTTTGCCCTTGGGCAGTCAGAAGGGCTTTGGAATACCTTTTAAGGTGGTGTTCCCTTTGAACTTGGTGGGCCCTCAGGAAGGGCTTTCTTATGTTGATTTTGCTACCTGACTGGGTGCTGTGTCAGCCCAGAGTGCTAGGGAGTTGGAGAGACAGAGTTAGAGAGCGAGAGAGAGCAGGGCGGCAAGATGGGCCGCGGAGAGGCTAGCAAAGGGGACAGAGAGAGAAGGATGTAGAAGAAGGATACAGGAGCAGGGATGTGGAGAGAGAGAGAGCCCAGACTGTGAGATGGAGCACGGAGAGATGAGCGAAAGAGAGAAGAGACGGGAATGAGGAGCAGTGGAGACTAGAACGGGAGGTTCAGAGAGACTGGGGCAGGCGCCTGGGGAGTATGGAATAAAGGGCAACTAAACAACCAAAAAACAAAAAACAAAACAAAACCAAAAAAAAAAGCTTTATTTTTAAATTTTATTTTATTTATTTTAAATTTTATTTCTTTTAATTTTTTTTTACTTAGTTGAATCACAATGAGACAGTTACAAAGTTGTTCGTGATTGGATTTTAGTCAAATAATGTTCCTACACCTGTCCCTTCACCAGTGCACATTTCCTACCACCAATGTCCCAGTTTTCCTCCCAATACCCATCCCCACCTGCCTCTATGGCAGTCACTTTTATATTCTCTCTCTCTCTCTCCCTCTCTCTTTCTCTCCCTCCCTCCCTCCCTCCCTTTTAAACTTTATTGAGAATCACTCACAAAGAAAGGGAGAGAGAAAACCCTAATAAACTGAATCAGAAATGAAAAGGGGGTCATTACAACAGAAACTACAGAAATTCAAAGGATCCTCAGGGAGTACTTTGAAAAGCTTTATGCCACAGAACATCAAAACCTCGAGGAAATGGATAAATTCCTAGACTCCTACAGACTCCCAAGGCTGAACCAAGAAGAACTGGAATACCTGAACAGACCTATCACCATCAAGGAAATTGAAATGGTAATAAAAAGTCTCCCCAAGCACAAAAGCCCTGGCCCGGATGGATTCACCAGTGAATTCTTCCAAATCTTTAAAGAAGACTTACTCCCAATCCTCTTTAAGCTTTTCCATGAAATTGAAATATCAAATACACTTCCGAACAGTTTCTATGAAGCAAATATCACACTGATACCAAAAGCAGACAGAGATAACACAAAGAAAGAGAACTACAGGCCGATATCCCTGATGAACACAGATGCAAAGATCCTCAACAAACTACTAGCAAATAGAATCCAACTACTCATCAAAAAGATCATACACCATGACCAAGTAGGATTCATCCCAGGGATGCAAGGATGGTTCAACATTCGGAAATCAATCAACATAATCCATCATATCAACAAAAGAAAAGATAAAAAGCATATGATCATATCAATAGATGCAGAGAAAGCATTTGACAAGATCCAGCACCCCTTTATGATGAAAACCCTAGCCAAAATGGGCATAGAGGGGACTTTCCTCAACATAGTTAAAGCCATCTACTACAAGCCTACAGCAAGCATCATCCTCAATGGGGAAAAACTGAGAGCCTTCCCTCTAAGATCAGGGACGAGACAAGGATGCCCACTCTCTCCACTGCTGTTCAATATAGTACTGGAAGTACTTGCAATAGCAATTAGGCAAGAAAAAGACATTAAGGGCATTCAGGTAGGAAAGGAAGAAATAAAGCTCTCACTATTCGCAGATGATATGATACTATACTTAGAGAACCCAATAACCTCCACCAAAAAACTCCTAGAAACAATAGACTTGTATAGTAAAGTTGCAGGTTATAAAATCAATACCCAAAAGTCCATGGCTTTCCTATACGCAAACAGTGAGAGAGAGGAAAGCTACATGAAAAAATCAATCCCGTTCACAATTGTGCCCCAGAAAATCAAGTACCTAGGAATCAGCTTAACTAAGGAAGTAAAGGACCTGTACAAAGAAAACTACAAAACGCTACTTCAGGAAATAAAAGAGGACATGAGGAAATGGAAAGACATCCCCTGCTCATGGGTCGGAAGACTTAACATTGTCAAAATAGCAATACTACCGAAAGCACTGTACAAATTCAATGCAATTCCTAT